CCGGCTTGTCCGTTGGGTCGTTTTTCGTCCTCCGGAGCCTTCGGGGAAGCCTTCAGAAGGCCCCTGAGGGCTCTAGAGGACTAAAAATGGCCCTACAAGCAAACTGAAAGTCTGTTCCCAAACTTCCAGTTTGTCTGTAGGGTGGTTTTTTTATGCTCCAGAGGCTTCAGGGAAGCTCCTGAAGCCTTTGCAGGGCCTCCGGGGGGGTGGGTGGGCGCGGGGAGGCTATTTTCGCCCTCCCCAGGCTCCTATAAAGCTTCTAGAGCCTGGGGATGGCGACAAATGTCTTTAAAAAAAGACTGAACTCAGCTGGCCAGCGCCCACATGCGTGCTGGCCAGCTGACAAATGGCTCCGCGTGCCACCTGTGGCACGTGTGCCATAGGTTCGCCATCTCGGACCTAAGCTATAAACCAGACTAAGAAATTGAAAATATGTCTTGGAAGAAGGCACTGATATAAAATACTTCTGTAACAGAACCAAAAAAAAAAACAAAAAACACCTGTCTATACATGTCTATTAGTCATCAGAGATTGATCTTGATTGAAAGAAGACTTTGTTTTAATAAGATTCGTGTAGTGTAATGGAAAAAAAAAGATGTTTGGAGGTACCCTACTGTTGACCCAGTTTAACTTTGACCTCATGCCTCTTCCAGGTTAGGGTTGTAGTTAGTGCTACAAAGCCTAGAGTAGGATTGGGAGACTAGTTTCAAATCTGCATCAACGATGGAAGCTCACTGGGTGGCTTTGATATATGTTAGAGAATTTCTCAGCCCTATCCACCTCATATTTTCAGGGAAAATGGGAGGAAGGAGCATTTGTACTCTGCCTTGAGCTTCTGGGAGGTACAAATCTGACAAATAAATTATATTCCAGACAATTACATGTATTCTGTGTGTATCAGTCCACTGCCCATACCTCTTTATTAATGGGATGTGGGCAACAGTATGTTAAAATGTGAAAGAGCCTCTAATTAGAAAAATCTATCATTAAAGAAATGAAAAATATTGTATTAGATTCAAATATGTTTTTGTTTTCTCCTTTTAGGCAAAAACAACAAACTCCAATTAGCCCTTAAACTTAAACTAATTTATTATGGCGCACATTTTTTGGTTCTTAAAGTGTTGTCTTGTGTTTTATGTAGTCTTATAGAAGTCTTTTAAGCCTTCTCTAATGTATGAAGATCCTAGTTTTGTTTTGTGAACCAAAGAATGTTTGAGGAGATCTTTAACTTAGAAAATTTGGACTGAATACAGTCAAATTATGTCTCCAACATGCAATAAATTGCGATATATATTCTTTTTTTAACCAATTCTTTTCTTGGAATAAAGGGGATATTGTATCTGCGACTATATTTTTGGAGGGGGTTGGAAGTTGGATTGTGCTACCTCAGGCCTTACTATTGAGACTTTCGTTAAAGAAACAGTGAATTAAGATACAATCTGTACAGTCTGAGTTTTGTCAGAAGGTGAATACAACAGGTGTTTTCTTTCCTTACATTCACAACAGCATGAGGATACCTACTGTAAGGACTACACATTTTAAGAAATGTTTATTGATTAAATGTATATTTTTCAGTTCAAAAACATTTTAATAGCTAAAAAAAATTATGTGGTGCCCACTTAAGGTCCTCTTAACCTTCTGTCAAGTCTTCTGCCCAAAGATGGTCTACTTCAAACTATATTACGATGAAAGAAAGTTCAGAAGAAGCTTATAGACAATTAACTAGTACCAATCCCAGTGGCTTAGCCTGGTGAAGGACTTAGTGTGTGTATGTTTTAAAGCTAATTTTAGTGGATGGGTCCTAATTTTAAAGGGCAATATTGAGGTATGGAAAATATTTTCAGGCTAGTGTTTTTAATTTTTATTTTGTAGAGATGGAAGACTAGCTACAAAGCAGATTGTTTTTCTTCAGAGACCCTTCCTGCCCCAGAAAAACAAGAGGAAGCAATCTAAGGTATATAGCCTTACACTATTTGGTGTATTTGTCTTGGCAAAGCTTGCATATTTTAATTGAATTTAATGTAGTAACTTATATTTTAATAAGCAACATGTCAGTTGCTTATTTAACTTTGCTGTTATTTCCAATTATGGCTCAGTTGTCAAAACTAACAAATAAACAGCAACAAAATATATAGAAGATAAAAGAAGTAGAAGCAAGGACAAGGAACTTGTTGCTCAACAACTTTTAGATGGAGTGACACACCATTCCTATTAATAAATTTAGCCAGCTTGAGGATGCTACGAATTATAACTTAACAGTAGTTGGAATATGGCTTGCTTCCTTTCCATCTCTCCAATGAGTTATTACTCATTCAAAGCCAAGGTAGCACAGTGGTTAGAGTGCAGCACTGCAGGCTACTTCAGCTGACTGCTGGCTGCAGTTCGGCAGTTCGAATCTCACCAGGTTCAAGGTTGACTCAGCCCTCCATCCTTCCTAGGTCGGTAAAATGAGGACCCAGATTGTTGGGAGCAATATGCTGACTTTGTAAACTGCTTAGAGGGCTGTAAAGCACTATGAAGCGGTATATGAATCTAAGTGCAATTGCTATTGCTACTCTCCCTTCCTTTTGCCTTTACATATTTAAAGCCTGGGCTCTACTTTGGCTAATTAAAAGGAAAGACATGTCAAAGGTAATGACACAAAGTAAGATGCTTCAGTTTATGATCTCTATTACCCAGGAAAATTTTTTAAAAAAACCCAAAACACCAAGTATTATTTGGTAGGGGTATGCCCAGATTCACAAGTAATAGTTTAAGGCTTCATTTTGAGGCTTTGGAATGGCACATTTAATTGCAAAGAGAGGTACATATTGTCTAACTAGATCTGGAATGAGCTTAATGGGAGACTTCTCCTCTTGTCAATTGTAAGAGAAATTTAAAAGCCTATTTAGTGTTTTTGATTATGTCAAAATGCTACAGAATGTAGCACACTTTATAACATGAATAAGATTGCCAAATGTAATCAAAACTTTTTGAATCTATGCTTTTTCAAGATCTATTATTTAAAATTACTTTGACATAATTTGGTTAAATTTTGACTGACAATAACTTTATAACTCAGTATGGAAGAACTATTCTAATTTTAGTTTGGTTGTAGACTGGTTGTGTGAAGGGAAAGAACTGTCTTTTCTTGAATGCAGGCTTGCACTCAGGCACATAGAACATAAAAATCAGCATATTCAAATTATTATTTTTTCTGTCTTCTGACTTTTATCAATGTATAAAACACAAAGAAAAATAAAAATAGGAAATTAAGGTAGGGAAAAAGAGAGGCGGGAAAGAAAATGTGAGGTACAAGAGAAGAAAGAAACAAGTGTTGACTTCCAACTCTTTTTAGCACAGTACAAAAGAATAACATTACAGGTGGTCCGCCACTTATGACCACAATTGAGCCCAAAATTTCTGTCAAGTGAGAAATTTGTTAAGTGAGTTTTGCTGTATTTTATGACCTTTCTTGCCACAGTTGTTAAATGAAATGCTGCAACTGATAAGTTAGCAATCACATGACCTTGGGAAACAGCAATGGTGTTGCCAAGCATCTGAATTTTGATCACATGACCATGGGAATGCTGCAAATATCATAACTGAAAAATGGTCGTGTCACATTTTTCAGGGCTGTTGTAATTTTGAATCGTCACTAAAATTGAGGATTGCCTGTACCACCTCAACTTTTTTACTTTTACACATTAGTATATAATGTGTATTCTATAATCACCAAAACCAAAGTCAAAGTTTCATTTATTTTTCATCACAAGCACAAAATCCAGAAATGATATCCAAATAAAAAACATATATAAATATATTTTCCTCTTTGAATAAAACAATCAATAACCATTTCTGCTTTATCTTCCTTACTATGAAAACAATATGGTATGCATTTCTATTTGCACTTAATAATCTTTATAAACGACCACCATTTATATTAACAAAATTCATGTATTCGTTCAGATTATTTAACCTTAGAGGGGAAAATACTTTTTTCATCCATTTTAAAACACTAAAATTTGTTTTAAGAATATTTCTAAACATGAAAACATTCTAATACATCTTTTTAAAACTTCCTCTTAACATATATTTTAAAGTTCACTTTGAGACTAATAAAATTCCAACTAACCCCAATTAACTGATTAAATTTATATAACTTCTTCCAAGTTACCATCATAGAATATTTTTTTCTTATATACATCCTTTTTAAAACTTTAAACTTTTCTTTAAGGTAATACATCCTTTTTTTACTTTTTCTTAACATACTTACTTAAGCATTTAAGCATTATATAAAAGAAAAAATGCATTTTCAAGATTAAGATTTTCTTTCAATTTTAAATATCAAATCAATAAAAATCCATCCTAATTCTAATTGATTCATTTAGTTTAAATCATTCCTTCCAGCTTGTCCTCAAGAAATATAATCTCTGGAATGTTTGTCAAGTAGTTATATGTTTCTCTTTTTCTCAAAAGTTTCTTAACCTTGTTAATGTCCATTAGGAAAATGCCCCAAACTTGTCCTTTTAAAAGTTGAAGATTTTCTTTCAATTCTGTTGGGAGGTTTATATTTAAAACATCATAATAAAAATTGGCGTCAGGTTTATATTCCAAAATTGCAATTGAGTCCTCTGCCTTGTCAGCTACTTGTGAAATTGCTTTGGTGGCTTAGTAACTTTCTACACATATTGCATCTCTGAAGTAGTTTGTGAAGTTTTTTTAACATCCTTGGAGAATAGCTGATTTATGAACTGATGGATTTTATTTAAACATTTTTCAAATTTAGGAATCATAAAAATTGAAACATTTTAGCCACTCATAGCAAAGCAGACCAAGTTACAAATTACTAAAAATAATAAACTAGAACTACAACTTTGTGCCCTTATATTTCTCCATCAACACTTCCTTATTTTAGTTTAGCAATAGCAATAGCAGTTAGACTTATATACCACTTCATAGGGCTTTCAGCCCTCTCTAAGCGGTTTACAGAGTCAGCATATNCGGCGCGCTTTTGAAATCGCGGTTTTAGCGCCCGGTGTTGTCGGCGCGCTTATGACGTTTGCGCTTTTGACGGGTCACGGCTGCTAGTAAGGCCTCTTATACTACAGAAAAGGTCTTGACATTCCTAGTTATGGTGGGGCCAATGCAAAGTAATGTGATTTTCTTCCTCCATATCTATCTGCTACTTTTTAAATGTATTTATTTCTGAGGACATTCTAGAAGACAGCCCTGGAGCAGTCTTTTATTTTTGGAATTTTTACTACTGGGTTCTTGACTGTGGAGCAGCCATTGTAAAATTGAAATAACTGCCTGCTTGCTTTATGCAGCAGCCTGAAAACAGGATGAGTACTTTGGAGTTTTGGTGTCTGCAGGAGAGAGGAGAGACTATCGTTTAGTATAGGTGTACTCTGACACAGTAGATTCCTGGATGCTTTCCTCTCATTGTGGTGAAATACTTTCAGGAGATTGAAATGGAATTGAGGCAAATGGAAGAACTGAAGGACTTATACCAGAAGAAAAACTACGAGCAGGTAGCATCAACTTTCTACAGCAAGTTAAGAATTGACTAAACTAAAATGCTTGATTTGATCACAGAATCTGATCCTTCTTTTTTTCTAGTCCCATAGTATTAAACAATTTGCCACCGAACTAACAAGCCTACAAAGTGAGATGCAGCAACTGGCCAAAAATCAGCAAGGGATGGAAAATCAGCTTGAGGATGAAAGGAAAAAGCGGAAACAACTTGAAGAAGAGTGCCGAGTAAGCCTCTTTTGAGCTCATAGTTTATTTCAACTATCTTAATATTTTTAGTGACAGCTAGTGACATGTCTAATGCTCCTATTTTCCTGTCCTTTTGGACAGGACAGGATGGAAAGCAAAATCTGTTAGCGTTAATCTTAAATCATGTTGAAATTACTGTAGAAGAATAAATAATTTTATTAGTTTGCCTGGAGTTTTGTTTTGTTTTTTGCTCCTTTAGACTTTGGAAGACACCATTAAGGAGCTCAAGAAATGCAAGGCAGTTACTGAAGAGAAACTAAAAGAAGCCAGCATTGAGTCTCAACAGGTAGATGCAGAGACAAAAAGGGGGGGAAACCCTGGGGCAGAGTTGCCATTTAGCTTGAAATTAATATGCTTGGAAAGGAATTAAGTTTTACAGATCAGAATAAAACTGGCTTGGCATTTCTGAACTTCTCATTAACTTCTCACACTGTCAAACTATTTACTAAGTCTGCATTACTATTACTATTAATCTTCTCATCGTTCCTATCACCCATCTCCTCCCACTTAGGACTGTATGCAGAGGTGCGTTGCCAATTTTTTTACTATCGGTTAGAGCGCTCTCCTACGCATTTTTGCGCCGCTTCTGCACATGTGCAGAAGCGTCTGGGCGGAGCCTCTTGCTGCCACTACCGATTTGGTGATCCGGGCCAAACCGGGAGCAACCCACCTCTGACTGTAACAATGTTGCTTGTATCCTTACAATTTATATTGTTTCCTAGTATGAGTTGATTGCTTGTTTGTATCCTATGACTATCATTAAGTGTTGTACTTTATGATTCGTGATGAATGTATCTTTTATTTTATGTACACTGAGAGCATCTGCACCAAAGACAAATTCCTTGTGTGTCCAATCACACTTGGCCAATAAAGAATTCTATTCTTCTATTTTATTCTCATTACTGAAGTAAGAGCTAATTTTATGATTTGATTTAAATTTAGGAACTTATCAGTATTCCAATACTTTGTCTACTTTTATTATTTGTATTTTGTCTTTTTATGTTCCCCTTTTTCCCCCTTGAATTG